TCCATGGTTCCACCTTGGGAGGCATCGGGCCCTTCCGAAAACAACATGGACGACAGGCTCAAAAAGGAAGGACTCGGCAATGTCGGCAATATTGAAACATCGGCGAATAATTTCATAAAAAAAATTTACCGGGCCGTCATGGAGATGCCTGAGGGCCTGATCCATCCCAGGGATTCGCAAAACCCGATGAAAAATAGAAAACAGCAAAGATATCTCTAAATTGTTGTGGGCAGACTATCGATCGCTGTCAAAATGGATTGCCCAACTGAATATTATGTAACGAGCTATAGGCCCACCCGGATACTGAATTTGGATACCTAGGGCGAGGACCACATTGGGAAAGATCACCCACTTCACCCGTGTGCCTTCACGGAGAGCGATTGTGTTTACTAACGGAAAGGGACGGCACGGAAAGGAGACGTGTGGGAAGGAAAGCGATCATCTCCAAGTCTCGCACCTCTCCCCTTTAATTTACCTCTTTCTACTCCGTACTCCGTACTAGCCGGTGCCAAGCCAGTGTAGCCGACGCCAGGGGTATGGGATGTGCCGCCTGCAACACTCGGGATTTGTTGATTATATCGCAAGGGCTATCCCCATTTGTCACCGGGAAACGAACCCGTGGCCCGAACGCACGTGAAAATGCGGAAGGAATAAGCGCGCGCTGTTGGCCAACCTCGTCAGATGGATCATATTGAATACGCACTAGACCGAAATGGGGTTAGTGGATTACGTAGATGACTTCCAAGGTTCGAAGGTTGACTGGAGACCATAATAAGGTTATCCAAGTCCATGTCTGGTGATAAAATGTGGTGGATGATCTGCTTTCGCATTCCGAGCCACACTTCTTGTTTCTATTTACTCCGTACATATAGCACAAATGCGACATTGGATGATTTTCTTCATCTATGTCAATCGCAAATAACACCCACAGGCCACTCAATCCATCGGTGGAATTCAACTCCTAGACACTCCCGAATTCCTGCGATGACATGCCGATCCCAGCCGATCATAAGCCATGAGGATCTCATGAACTTTAAAAGAATACACCAATAAGCAAGAACAACCAATGAAAGTGGCTCCTTCTCCTCAAGAAGACAGATGAACTCCTCAGGCCGTGTGTATATCCACCCGACGACAGAGGGCATCAAGCTGACACCATCCTTCCCAGCACTTCGACACTGGTATGCTTCCTCGAACATTTGGAGCGTTTTTTCAAGTGTTTCGATATAGATCTGACACATGGAACTCCCGCCAGTTTGTTTTTCGACAAAACGTTGAAGTTGTTTAATATGAGACTGATGTTCCGCGAGCTCATCTTGGAACAAGGGGCTAACGCCTTGAATAGCAGGGTCGGTTTGAATCTGTAAGACCCCGGTAAAGATTTTGTCACGACTAGACATCAAAATCGATCTCACTCCTCTCATAAGAACCAGCCATTCCGCCTTCCCAGTCTCACTGAAAACAAGGTATTCACCGGGCTTTGGACCGTGTGCGAAATAGACAAAACATACTAGCACTGTCGACATGTAGATCGACTGGCAGTTCCCTGAGTTAAGGCTCGATAGAATAGCCGACACAGATCGAATGCCAAACGTGAAGTGGTCATCTGCCTGCATCACATACTGGTCTCGTACCTCGCGGTGAAGATAGCCCAGATGCAAGGCTGCTAGCGCCAATATGAGGTGGAAGATGGATGGTGAGGAGAATCCCCATTGTGGAACGTGAGTTTGCCAGATTCGGTTGCGGTCAGTTGCTTCGTCCGTTATGGTGCGATATGTCTCTGTGACGAAGTGGTGGAAGAGTCGTAGGTCGGCAAATGAGAGGGTATCCTGACTATGTGGCAGGGCGCTCGGGCTTTCGCATTGAACTTCCGTGGAGACTGTCCGCGAAGATGACTGGCCTGTTTCATCCTTGGGTGTGAATCCCCCAGATTCGTATTTAGAAGGCTTAAATCGGAATTGTGTCTTTGAAAATCTGGATGGGGATGGAGCTGCAGAGGATGAAGCTGATGATATAGCTGTCGTGGAAAGGAAGTCGCACTCGATAGCATGGTGGATGCATTTGGAGCATGCTGGCTTCTTCTCGTCACACTGTAGACTATTAGTGTTTATCATCAAAACTTCCACTCCAGCCTAGTCACACCCCATTTGACTGGGAGTATTATGATCCTGAATTAAATGCTTCTCTCCTTCATATACATCTCTTTCATGAAGGTAGCAGAGTAGCTTGTGAAACGACAACCGGACTCAGAGACCGTTTGGAAGGCACTCACTTTTATTCGCCGCCTCTTACAATTTCCACATCCTGCACGAGATTTACGATGAGGTTTTCGGGGTCGGATTGTGCTCTGTGTGTTTTCCATGATGATAAGGGCCTGCCGGACGTCGTGTTCGCTTTCAATTTTGCCGTTTTGGGTCCCAAGTATGACGTCATGATTTAAATATAGAACGCACGTGACCATGGAGTATAAGATGTGAAAAATGAACAGATATCGGAGTAAACGGAAGAGGGAAGCTGTCCAAGAGGCAAACTGGTTCAAGTGCTGCTCTGTTTGATCTTAAAAGCTGAAACCTTCTCCTTATATGTCTGCCTAATGGAATCCTCACGTTTAGGCTAAAAGTAGGAAAATCACCGTCTTACCTACATAGGTGCATCAGTCCCTTAGTCCTCCTATTAGACTTCAGGCATACTATTCAACGTAATCCTCTAGAAAATAATGGATTAAAGGATACTAGGAGGGGTGTTCAAAACGAGCACCGGAAAAAGGATTAACAAGAGGGAAGCTCGGTCAACTACGATGAACACTCTTTATCTCGCCGTATCAGCATTGCTATAGGCTAGTTGTCCATTGAGTCAGTCTCAAATCCTAGTGTAGGGCCAGATAGTGACAAAAGCCCTTTCATATGTAGTAACAGCTCTTTGTTTGTACAGCTGGATAAAAGAAAATAGCTTTGTTCTCGCTACAGCAAATTTGATCTTAGACTAGGTCACTAACATCAGCATGAAAGAAAGAAGCACCCCCGTTTGATTCGTCTGGTTTCACCCATAGTAAGTCCCCACCTCGAGCGGGTCAGGAAACTCCCCTGGCCACCTTTTCTGGAGTCCATCATTTACCAGCGCGACCTCATCCTGGTCGGCGAAGATACCATGTTGGTTGAAGAGATCGATTTGATCATAAACCCAGGTTCGGCCATTCCAACCATCATCGTCAATCTCAAATTTGTGCCGATTATTCGCAACAATCATCTCGTGGACGTCGCCCACCGTAAACCCTGGGTTAACGCTCAGAACAAAGGTCAATTGTCCATTGGGTGGGACCAAAGTTGATCTCTTTTGAAACACAATATTGGCTTTGGAGCCATTTTCAAGGACGGTGGTTTGGCGTTCGTAAGTTGGTTGACAATGCAGTCTTACCGCTGTCATGTTTTCTTCAGATGTGGACAGGAAAAAGGTCCAGCTGTTTGGAAAATTGAACTCGCGGGGTGCCAGACATATGGCTCGGATGCATTCGACTGGCTGGCGCAGGATTTCGGACCGCTCGCTCTGAGGTTCGAACTCGACTGGGTCCCATTCGGGGTTGAGAACGCTGTCTGGTTCTGTTAGTTCTCTTGTTGGCATGCAGGGTGATGAGTAGACGTACTGCAGTAATAATCAGTGATCAGCATGTTGGTTAGGTATTGGGTATGATGTCAGAGAGAGATGGAGAGAAGAGAATGCTGAACGCCTCAGCCATAGCCCGGCGGGCATATATGGCTAGAGAAATTGTAAGAGGTCTACCTGTCGGAACAACTATGAGAATGGAATGAGATACCTTGAGGTAATCTTCCATCTTTGTGTGTATCTGCTATTTAACTTTCACTTGTGTCTAGTTGGCCTCTCTTGATATTTTATAAGCCCTGTGTAATCCTGTTTTCTAATATCTTTTCTCAGTCGCCATTTCCATATATAGTCAATTTAATTAGGTAGCGCCTCTCTTAAAAGCACCGGCTAAACCCTTCACTAGACATTAACAGTATTAATGAGCATCCCGTGTGTCCACGGGTACTTTTGACGTTTTTTCCTCCTGCCTCTATTGTCGATGCTATATTTTCTTTCTTTAAATAACCCATTTTTGCTTTTTTTATAGAACATTTTGATTATTCTAAGACCCTCACATATAATACTTAGTCTTACATATCCTCCAGGGCTTCCAATTGCTAAAATCAACATTCTCCAAGAGTCCTAGCTTGGAACCTGCTGGATCGTGTTTCACCAAGTTATTATGTTGAGATCTCGCTACCAGTAGAGAAACATTGGAAGTATTTTCCTTGCCTTCCCTGTGTCTTCCCGTGTCTCACCGTGGAGTTGGAAACATCCTGAGAACATTGAGTAGACTATGTAGACTTATACATGTAAACAAAGAAAGCTGTACATCTCCTCTGTTATTCTTTTGTTTAGAACGCACGTGTTGTTGTGTAGAAGGCGAGACAAGACGAGACGCGCCATCATATATGACCTATCTCCCCAGTTCTTTTCAGCCCTAGAGATCTTCTTCTTCTTCTTTTTCCCTTTGCAAGCATCTTTCACATTACCTGCAATGGATCTCATTCCAAGTGCCTTTATGGCACGTCCGTTGAAGATTGTTGTTATCGGTGCTGGGTACGGCATATGTACTGAACTCGAGCGATGACAGTTTTAACCATTGTTTTAGTATTTCGGGGATCCAGTTCGCACATGATGCGACCACTTTATTATCAGGTGTCGATCTTGAAATCTACGACAGAAATCCTTCCCTAGGGGGTACATGGTATGAGAATCGGTATCCAGGGTATGTACGACTGCATTCCTATAAGATTCGTTATCAGATGAATAGTTCGCTTATGTTGATAGATGCACTTGCGATGTGCCTTCCCACACCTACCAGTTCAATTGGGCACCTAATCCCTCATGGTCATCGCTCTATCCTCCAGCTCCCGAGATTCACAGATACTTGGAGGATGTGGTTGATAGGCACAATCTCCGCCGCTTCATGACCTTCAATACCAAATGCGTCTTAGCGCAATGGAACGAAGACTCCTCCAAGTGGAGAGTTGTTCTCCACGACGTGGTTTCCAGCGAAGAAAAGACCATATTTGCCGATGTCTTTGTCTACGCTGTCGGGCGGTTGAACAACTACAAGTTCCCCAAGATTGCGGGCCAAAAGACCTTCCGAGGTGTCCAAGTACATACTGCAGACTGGCCAGCTGATATGACCGTTAAGGATAAGCGCGTGGTTGTGATTGGGAATGGTGCAAGCGCCATTCAGTGTGTGGCAGCTTTGCAGCCAGGTGAGTCGTAAAGTCACTCCGAAGACATACCAGGCTGACCGGGCTCCCAAGTTGCTTTGCAAATAATCAATATTGCGCGAGGGCCAACGTGGATTCTCCCGCATGCATCGGCTGAAGATGGTACTATTCAGCGCGAATGTGAGTGTCTCGCCTTACTGCAAAAAGAAACGGGCTAGCGACAGAAGCGCTAATCCGTATCTAGACTCAACCGAACAGAAACAAGCTCTCCAGGCTTGCCCTATGCGCTATTATGACTTCTGCATCTCACTAGAGCAGAGGCTCGCCGCAAGTTTCACAGGACTGTGGAGAGGCACCAAATCTCAAGCCAATTTTACATCGTTGGCACATTCATTCATGAAGTCGAAGATCACAAGCCCCGATCTTTTGGATGCCCTCCTACCAGAATTCGAAGCCGGCTGCCGTCGCTTCACACCCGGTGGTCACTATCTGGATGCGTTGCAGAAGCCCAATGCCGTGTACGTACATGACTCAATCAAAAGACTGACCGAGGGTAGCCTTATCACCGAATCCGGAGGAGAGTACGAGTGTGACATATTGGTATACGCCACCGGATTTGAGCCATATCAGCCACGGTTCCCAGTCACTGGCCGCGCTGGACGATCACTGAGTGAAGAGTGGGACCGCGAGGGACCTTGCGAGAGTTATATGGCTGCGATGGTCGCCGAGTTCCCTAACTTTTTTGGTAAGAACCTGAATATTTTTTGCTGGTCATTTTGCTTAACTGGTGTATCTTGGACAGTCTTCAACCCCCCAATCTGCCCTGTGAATGGATCCGCCATCCCCGGCATCCAGAGAGCAAGCGACTATATGATTCGAATCTTATCCCGACTACAGACAGACAGACTGCGATCTGTATCTGTGACACAACGGGCTCAACGCGCATTTAACCAATGGGTTCAGTCGAGAATGCCTCATATGGTCTGGTCAGGACCATGCAAATCATGGTGTAAGCACGTCCCCACCGCTCCTATCTTTGCAAATTGACTCATTCTTGGTACAGACAAGAACGACAATGGAAAGGTGATTGTTCCCTGGCCCGGCACTGTCCTCCACTACTATGCGGCAACCGAAATTGTCCGCTGGGAAGACTTTGACCTAGTCTACGAGAATCCCGATGAGAAATTTGCGAGTTTCGGCAATGGTGTAACAATGGATGGATTTGTGCCCAATCATTTTCCCTGGGTACTTCCCCCCAATGATATTCAGAAGCAACGAAGGAATGCAGAGCCGGCTTCTCTGCTCCTTACCCCAAGCAACGTGTTGTATCGTCTGACAAGCCAACTTGCAGTTGCTTGGCGCATGGCCGCATCCTGGTGAACCGCCAGTCAAGAGTTGAGGAATGTTACTATGCAGAGCTAGCTTCCAAGCCAAGGTTGTAAGAATCCAATTCAATGTGTTTTCGGGTAAGCGATCTACGATCTATAGAGGGTACCTACCTGTATTGTAGACGCCAGTTCAACTACTACCGCCCGAGAGATTGTGCTGCGTTTCTGAATCATCACGATAACTATTATAAGGATGTAATATCACATAAATGCTTATATGGGCTGTATCAGATCTCGACGTCCGATATTCTGGACCGATCGGCATGATGGTGGATATCCCGGTAATTCATCGGCTACATAGGCTCTACGCTTGTGGATATCGGCAGATTCACCTGGATTATTAATGAGCTCGTTTAGACTCTTCTGACTCATTTCAAAGTTCGTGGATAAGAAGTTCAAGTATTCCGCATTTTCTTTCCTTTGTTCCACTAAATATCCCCAATTACCTGTGTTGACACTTGGTGAGTTCTTGGAATTCTGACGTCATATTCAATGTGAATCCAACAAGATCAATACATGAATTATTGTAAACTGACACTTTTATCTTTACTAGAGCTCACATAAATAAGCCAAATCTCACAATGGTCGACAATAAGATGGAATATGTCCGGTACAGAACCCCCGAACACATTCTACTCGAATAAGATGCTGATACCAAATAAAAAACAGCCTTGGAAACTCGGGTCTAAAGATCTCCAAAATCATTCTTGGGACAATGGGCTATGGCAGTAAGCAATGGCAAGACTGGGTCCTAGACGAGGAAGACTCACTGCCCCTGATTGAACATGCCTACAAGCAGGGCATCAACACCTGGGACACGGTAAATTTCAAGACACGCAATATTTTCTAGGTAACCGAATAAGCCACTAATATTTACCGACAGGCGGACGTCTACTCCCACGGCAAATCCGAAGAAATCGTCGGAAAAGCCCTGAAGAAGTACAACATCCCCCGCAACCGCGTGGTAATCCTAACGAAGTGTTTCTTCGGCGTCGATGACGAGGGCAATTTCCCACCCATCGCGGCATGCGCCACAAACGACGGACCCTTCGTCAACCGCACCGGCTTATCGCGCAAACATATCTTCGACGCCGTTGATGCCAGCGTGGAACGTCTGGGCACATACATCGATGTGCTACAGCTGCATCGCTTAGACCGGGATACACCGCGCAAGGAGATCATGAAGGCGCTGAACGACGTTGTCGAGAGTGGGAAGGTTCGGTATATCGGTGCTAGCTCGGTATGTCCATGGCTTCCACACCTATTCTCTCCTTTCTTTTCTTTTTCTTTCCTTCCTACCCTGCCTGGTCTCCACACTAACCCACAACCAGATGGCGGCGTGGGAATTCCAATGTCTGCAAAACATCGCCGAGCGCAACGGCTGGCACAAGTTCATCTGCATGCAGAACTTCCACAACCTTCTCTTCCGTGAAGAAGAGCGCGAGATGATCCCCTACTGCCAAGACGCCGGTGTCGGCATTATCCCGTGGTCACCGATTGCTCGTGGCGCGCTCGCGCGGCCCTGGGGCTCGCGCGGGACGGTGCGTGAAAATAGCGACGGCGCGCTGAAGATGTTCGTCCGTAGTCGCGAGTCGGAGGCTGATAAGGCTATTATTGACCGGGTTGAGGAACTCGCTAATAAGAAGGGTGTGAGCATGGCTCAGATTGCTATCGCTTGGTCTCTGACTCACCCTGGCGAGAACCCCATTCTTGGACTGCACAGTGTTAAGAGCATTGATGAGGCGGTTGCTGCTATTAAGGTCCAGCTGTCTCCTGAGGAGATTAAGTATTTGGAGGAGCCGTATGTTCCTAAGGCGGTTACTGCCCTTGAGCGGTAAGAATTTGGGAGGGATACACCAAGAACCTTTATAAACGCTGTGAATACCATGAATACCATGAAGCAAATTGAACTTTCTTTGAAGAGAGACACATCTTGCTCTATTTTGGTCCTTAATGAGATGAGTGAGATATTTTGAATCTGTACTTGGGAGCCTTGATAACGGAATTAACTGTGGGTGATGGGGTATTTTATTCATATGTAGCGTGATGGATAGATGGATAGATGGATAGCAATGTACACGAGCGAGATACAAGCATACACATTGAGTCTGAGCCCCAGGAAATGAAGATGAAGATATGACGAGAAGAAGTAGGTATGAAAAGAGAAGTGTGGGAGGACGCGCAAATGCAAAGGATGCAAGATGCTAGTTGGAATGAGACAGAGAGAGGAGAGTAGAAGAAGGAAAATCGGCCAAGGATTCGTACCTGACGAATCGCGCTGTAACGTATAACGCCCAACTTATGCCAGATGCGATGTTGTGCTGTGACGATGCCTACATATGGACCAGCCACAAACATAATGCAGGAATATACATGGTGATCGGGAATCGAAAGGTCAATGAGTATCGTGTTTTCGGTGAAAAATGCCAAAGAAAGTACTGAGACGGCGGCGAACTTTGCCCTTGTTGGAAGTTGAGTCGACAGATTCGGGGGCTAGAGCATCCGACTTCTTCTTGTGGGTGCTGTTTTGCTGTGCGATGCGGGAGTTTGAGGCAGGAGGATCTCGATCTGGCCCCGTATTCGACCCAACATTATCCCTTTCCGGCTTGGCTTTTGCAGGAGACTTCGGTTTAGGATGACCAGCTCGATATGAATCTTCCACCTCGGCGGATTGTTGGCGAGGAGAAGGAGGACGGGAGACAACGATATCACGGCCGTTCTCGCCCAAGGCAGTGAACATGCTGTGTCGGTTCAGGCGAGCGCTAAGCCCAGAAGCGGATCTTCGCTTCGCTCGATCCATGAATGCAGCACCGGTGGAGTTGGAGCGCTTGGACAAACTGGTGGATTGAGTTCCATCGATGCTGGCCGGGGTGGTGGAACGGCGGATATTGGAGACAGACAAGCAGTGTTTGCCGTCTTCATCGGCATCCGGGAAAGAGTCGGTTTCACTTTTGGCGGTCGTCGGGGATGCATATTTCACGGATGTCGGAGACATACTCGACTTCGCACCGGATGAAGACGCCGCGTCGCCGTAGCGGAAGTTGTCTGACCATCCCTCACGAAAGGCGACCCAAATGCCGGTGATGACAATCAAAGTTCGCAGTCCATCATCAAGAGTGACTGTGTCTCCATCGAGGGGAGTCTCTGCATCCGAGGCATCACTCACGACCGACATTCCTGAGCTCGGAGTCGTGGGACCGGTGCCGGACCGAACAGCGGTGGAATATTCATCATTGACTTGTAGCTGATTTCGAGTCATAGACGCGAGAACGGGATGTCGGCGAGTGGTAGGATCGATGACGCTGAAAGTGAAGCGTTTGCCGTCCTCGCGCGACTGTGTCCCTGGCGTGGACATCCGGCGATTCCTCCCACCACGCAAAGCCCACCGCATGATTTGCACGCCACTATCTGTCTGAGCGACAAACTCGTAAGACCCGCTTGGGAGAGGCGAAGCCTCCCAGACAGGCCCGAAGTTCAGACATATCTCCGCCTTCCCTTTCAGTCGAGCATCTTCTTGGTACTTTTGACAGATTGTGGCGACTACCTCGCGATGATCTTCGTCCTCATCCTCCGAGCTGACACGTTTTTCAGGAATGCTGCCAACCGTCCGGTCGTATTGTTCGCTCAACACCACGATCAGGTCATACGGACCCAATCCGTTTCTGGTCCGATAGATGGCCGGGAACTTGCGGGCTATTAGTGGCAGGTAAGACGTCGATGGCAGAATATCCACAACCGGTAGTGGCCGAGGGGTTTGCGACACCTGTTGTAGCTGCAGGAGGAGCTTAGGACGAAATCTCAACCGCTTGTGGCGAGCATGAGCGGCGGGATGGGCGAATTGATATGATGTCTTCGGTCGAGACTTCCGACCTGCGGTTGAACGGGCAACTGGGGTTCTGGTGACAATAGCAGCCGATTCTTTGGAGGATTCACCGGAATTCGAGGCCGACTCAATCGGACTCATCACCATAGCGGATACAAGCCCCGGACAATCAGTAGAACCATCAGGAAGCCTAGGAGGACTGCAGAAGGAGTTCAACAATGGCAGAGCAGACAGTAAAAAGGTAGGCGAGTAGGTAGTACACGTAGAAGGCTGAGTGTCTGGTTGATTACTAGGTTCATTTGCATGGGCTGCTGCGGCGTCCGCTGTGAGGCCAAGATTCAACAACATTCTTGAGCCCTAGCGGAGCCACATTGGTATTAAAGAGCCAAATCTTTGTGGAATTTCACCTCCAATGTACTAGTCATGAACGGCCCGTATTCAAACCCGTCAGCTGCGGGGGGTTCAAATGTTCAGCCGGGAGCTATGTGTGGGGAAGGCCTAATCACGGTTGCGGAAAGAGCAAACTGGCCAGACATGCAAGTCAAGATTGTAACTCGCTATATGTGTAAGAAAGAAGTAGATGCAAGGGGGAAGGTTTAAAGAGTGAAGGGATAAATCTGCAAGAGCAATAAAGGATAAAGGTCTTCCTTAATATAAATGGGGCGGTCAGCCTTACAGAGCTATGCGAAAAAAGAAAATTAAAAAAAACAAGAAAATTAGCAAAATAGTAATCATAAAGTCATAGTGGGACCGATTAGTTGCACAAAAGTGTGTATTTTAATTTGCTTGATGTGGTTAATGTGTTTATTATGTTGAATAATACATATTAGTAAGGTGGTTTAATGCACAAAATTTGGCTTATGCTTGTCAGCGGGTTCGGTCATTATACGGCCTCCGACACATCCGAACTCCGTGACGATCATTCATAGTCTTTTTGTGCTTCCGAATGCCGCTATGGAGTACATATGTAGTTTATCAAACTCTCCGGCACATCAATTGGTCCGAGTAAAAGGTTAAAATGAGTGTATAAAAATCCCTCAGGGTATCCAAAAGAAAATTCAATTCTTGAACGTGACAATAGTCCCACCATGCCTAGATATTTATATGGATACTCTTACACTAGTCAGTTAGTATATGGTCTTATGAGGTAACAAAGCTCGTGCAAATCTGCCCATTCTCCAATAAGATGGGGCTTGCCAAGAGGCAGGCTAAAATCCCTGTCCGATCTTCGACAGGGCTCACTTGACCAAAGCCTTGGGGAATAGGTAATGGAAATCCTTGGCAAAGTGTTATAGGATATACGATAGCGTGAGCTTTGTTCCTAGAAGTAATATTCTGTTTCGCTTTGTGAGATTCCCCTAGAATTGCCACTCTAATACAGTACATATTATCTAGGCCTTGAAAGCCGATTCCTTTCCAAGGTTGATCAACCTTCGAAGGTTCGGGAGTGATCATGTGACTAATTTATGCGAATTTATGCGAACCTGTCAGGTTTCACCTCCTTGAAAATTACGTTACCTCGGCAGACTGATAGACCGCAAACCGGACAATCGCAAGGTAATCATCCCGACATCTAGAACCCGATTCCGGTAGACGTCCGCATTGGGGAGATTCCCAATTCCTAAGGTTTCATTAAAGTCACCCTCTTTAGTGGCTGAAGTCACTGAGGCCTATCATGGCTTCAGTTCAACCCACCACAAGGCCACCGCCATTGTTTGCCAAACTACTGCGATTGGACAACCCAATTGGAAGCTTGACACTCGCATTTTGGTCATGGAAGGTCTTGTTGTATATAGTCGTTGCCGCCTGTCCAGGATTGGGCTATGATACCTCCACCTCCTTGATCTCATATGCTGCCGACCCTTCAACGGCCCAATCTCTCTCGGGGCCCCTTAAATTTGCCAGATGGGACAGTGTCTACTTCCTGGATATTGCCGAAAAGGGCTATCTCTTTGAGCAAGAATGGGCCTTTGGCTGGGGCTACACTAAGCTTCTATCTATTTTTGTCTCTGGTACGTAAATCCATTCTACCCATACTGCGCGTCTCGTTTTAATACAGACTAACTGTGAATAGGTATTCGTCTCTCTGGTGGAGATGCTGGGCCCGCTAGCACTGCAATGGTGGGAGTGGTTCTCTCCCATGTTGCCCATTATTTGTCCGTATTGGCGCTCTATCGTCTATCGGCTAATATCTTTGGACACGCGACTGCCACCCAACATCTCATTTGTTTCCTATCGGCAGCTCTTCACATCATTTCACCGGCGGGTGCTTTCCTGTCCGCGCCCTATGGAGAGTCGATAGTCTCCCTTTTGAACATGACTGGATTCTACCTCTATTCATCGTCTCTTATCGCCGAGCGCAACGGGGCAACACGTCTGCGAGATATTCGGGTTCTCACATCCGCAGTTCTATTCGCGGTTGCCACCATGGTCCGTAGTAATGGGGTTCTCAGCGGGTTCCTATTTGCCTATGATGCGGCAGTTTTGGCTTGGAAGATCCTGGCTAGAGGTCCTACACTTCACGCTACTGTTCGTCTTGCGGTGATCATTGTCAGTGGGTGTATTGTAGGATCTGGGATAGTCATTCCTCAAATCCTGGCCTATCGCATGTACTGCATGTCCAGGGGCGATCTTCGGCCATGGTGTGAGTGGACTTTGCCTAGCATCTACGGCTGGGTTCAAAGTCATTACTGGTAAGCAGTGATCCACGTCCGAATACCAAAACTAGACAGACTAGTTTCCCCCCCCCTTCGCCTACTTATCCCCCGTCTCGGCCTTCTACCTCTAATGTACGACTTGTATCTTCATCGCTCTTACTGACTGTAATAGGGATGTTGGGTTCTTGCGATATTGGACCATCTCCAATATACCTCTTTTCCTGTTGGCGGCGCCCATGTTGGCCATTCTGTGCCGATCCAGCTTATGGGCATTACAAAGTCCATCTTCCTCCTCAACGAGCCCGGGGTCAATGCTCGTTCGGTTGGCGGTTCCCCAGGGTTTGCTGGCTGTTATGGCATTCACCAGCTACCATGTTCAGATCATCAACCGCATCTCATCGGGATATCCCTTGTGGTACTGGTATCTGGTTACTAGCGCTGTGGATCTCGGTTCAAGCTCACCCAAGCAAAGCCGGACCCTTGTGGCCGCTGTGTATAGCATGGTGGCCTATGCGTTGATCCAGGGTGTTCTTTTCGGTTCTTTTTTGCCCCCAGCATGAAAGAGAACGGCTGTGTATATTGATACGTGATTTAAATTATAAGACATGGCCTAGACTGTTGTGAATGGATGCAGCCATCCCGATTCGTTGGTTGGGCGATATGCTTGCGTAAGGTGGCTGTCTGCCTAAATTGGGGTAAAGGCGGACAAGTGCCCACTACCTGGACTATTATAAATTAGAAAGAAGAGAGAGGAAAGAAACAGGAGTCATATGGCTTTCTTAAAGGACTATCAAAAGCAAATTCTATTATATCTTTAGTGTGTATCTCTCCACGCGGGTCACTCTGCAGGGCCAAGCTTCGTTACGTATAATTATGTCATCACAACCTCGACTCTCTCCCCTTTGACCTCTTGACCTTCAACAACTAGGCATTTCAATAAGAAAAGAAGAAACAGAGGCCGAAATTCTGAGCTACCCAATCCCTAAAACGAATACGAAGCCGGTCATATCCTCCCCTCGCTTGCCGAGAAAAGAAAAGTACCCCATGCGAACACAGCCGTGTGAAATACAATCTCCGGTTCCAAATCCCGCACTTTTTGGAGTGGGAGCTTCAGAGTTTCAATAAAAGTACGATTTCCTTCCAAACTTGTTCTGTGATTGATTGATACTGCGCGGAAAATAAGTTACCCTCGTGAAACATCGGCGTTGCTGACGTATTGCTGCCAGAGCTCACCCGACGGCAACGGCTACTCCTCCCTCACCTCATCTCCACCTCGTGTCGACCATTCCTTTCCCTACCTCCCATCTGACGATGGAAGCCTCCGGCCCCAAGGCGATCCTCACATCCGACAATTTCAATCATGCACAAGATCTCTCCCGGGCGACCTCGCCCGGTGGTGAGCCAGTCGCCGTGAATAGCCAAGGCGAACCGATAGCCCGCGTGCGGCCCCGTACCTATCCATATTTCCAATATCTCCCATACCAGCTCGAGGATGAGACTGAGCGGAATCAAAATCTGCGAGAGATCTTGAATCAGCTCTATATTGCAGTGGAGGCCGGCGACTTCAATCCCGGAGCCGTGCACTGGACACGCGAGCTACGTGGATGGCTATCGCTCAAGTTTGACCCGACCCGGGCGCAGCGCATCAGCCTTGTAAAATTGTATTTTGAGCTTGCACTTGCTCCTGGGATTGACCCGTCGGTCGCCGAGCGCTTTTCGAGCATGTTCATGCTGCTCACCAAGTGAGTATCAGTGTTGGTCGCGGGAGTAGTGTTGGCTGCTAACCCGAAATTTAGGCGCAAGCATTATCTGAAGCCAGTCAAAGACCTCGTCTTAGATTGGAAGCTTTTATACAAGGAGCTCAAGGCTTTTGTCCTCCCCACCGAGTCCGGCCTTGTTCACTCAACCAACCTGAAGCGGAATGTCAAAACCTTGACCAAGCTTTGCGCATTCGCTCAATTATACATTGACCCGTGTGAACTTCCGGCTATGCTCGAAGAGTTCTTGCCTTTTTATACCACATCATTCTCGGAAGGTGCCTTCGTTGTCGCCGGGCTCATTAATTTGTTGCTTCCAACATCCCCGGCTCCTGACTCGCGAGCCGATCTCCTACCGCAGAGTCACCTGCCTACACATTTCCATTTGTGGTCATTGGTCGGTCGGTCAAAAACATTTGACACTACATATCTGGACTATTTCTCCCGATTGGCCCGAGATTCTCTGCCGGCCGCTCACATTCCATTCTCCGAGCATGGTATCTTCACAAAGGACCAGTCTGCTCTCATTTTCACCGCGGTACTGAGGTTGTTGGAAATCCCCGTCGGCCAATCCACTTCTCCGTACAGTGCCCTGGTGGATATCTCGTCTGGTCTGGGTATCATGCTTGATCGCGATGGCCGGAAGCACCCGGTTGCTCATCACATTGCCCGGTGGATTGTGATGTCGCTCTCCCCCGCTTGTGTGGATGCCGAAGTCTCAATTCTTACACAGCTGGAAGGTCTTATTCAAGCTGTTGAGACGTTCTTCCATCCTTCAAACTCAGGCCATTGGACCAAGACCCTGTCACAACTGGTTTATTACCTGACTGATTTCTTCGTCATGCGTTGGAATCGCGAACAAACCGGTGAGATGGATGTCCCTCCTGAGCGACGACTGAGTGAGCCTCTGAAGCGGCGGTTTGTCTTGTGCATCCGTGATGTAATCTTTATGGGCATATATGCTAAGAGTGGCACTGCAATGACTTTCTCCCTGTCGACCTTGCAAGGCCTGGCCTACCTGGAACCGCATCTCATTCTACCGGGGGCTTTGCAGAGAATCTACCCTTCACTGCAAGGCCTTGTTGAGGTCCACCGGACTGCGTCCTCCCTTCGGGCTATGACATCGCTGTCTCGTATCATTTCGCGCACCAAGGGTTATCGCTGTCATATGACAACTTTGTTGGGTCTGACACTACCTGGCATTGACGCGAATGATCTTGAAAAATCGCTTCATGCTCTGTCATTCATCCAATCGGCCTGTTACAATATCCCTATGGTCGACTTGACCAAAGGGCGAGATGACATCAACTGCAATATGCTTGCCATGCAATGGATCTCAGGTGAAATGGAGAGAATGGAAGAGCAAGGGTCCGAAGTACAGCTGGGTTATGATACAGAGTTGGATGATGAGACGGAGGAATTGATCTTGCGCTCTTCGACATGTGGTTTCGGAGACTTCACGATAGCTTTCCTGGGTCGTGTGTTCACACTTTTGGAAAATCTGCCGGACGTCTCCAGGGTTCGAAACGGTTCACCCGAAGAGAATATCGTGAATACTCTTCCCGCTACGTTCATGCCTTTGCTCGCTTCTTTGTCTCCGGAGTATTACGATCTTGCTTTGGGTAAGATTGTGGATTTCGTGTCCAACCATGTCATCCACCAGGCTCGTGATGCAATGGCTTTCATTTGCAACGCCCTATGCAAGGTTAACCCCGAGAAGGCCCTTAAGCGTTTCATCCCTGTCTTGACTGGAGCTATCCGTACTGAGATTGAAGATAATGGTGCTGGATCAACCCGAACCACAGGAACTGATGTTTTGCCTCGTGATCGAGCTCTGGTCTGGAATGTCAGTATGCTGAGCATGTGTGTGGTACATGTCGGCAGCGCCGTCATTGGTCACCGTCAGGAACTGTTTGACATTGCAGTCTACATGCAACAGAACTGCCGTGGCATTCCTACAGTTCATATTTCCAACTTTATCCACCACCTTTTGCTCAACCTGACTGGGACCTACACTAATGATTTCTCACTCTACGAACCTTCAGTCAAAGCAGAAGGTATCGAGCCGAAGCTCTGGAGTTACCAAGCTGATGTGAACAATCTCAACATCAATTGGCATGTGCCGACCCGTCAGGAAATTGAGTTTGCCGTCGACATCTTCAAAACCCAGACAGAGACGGCTTTAAAGTCACTATCTGCGCTGACTCATGAGACATCAAGTGTCAAACGTGATGGAAGCGGCAAGGACTGGTCAGATGAGGTTACTCGGAATCTCGTGCTCCTGCGGCTCGTGTTGTCTGGGGTTTCTGTTCTCTTTGATCCCAAAGCCGCATCAACCACATCACTAAAACCCTCCTCATATGGCACCTCCGAGGATGTCGAGATGGGGGATGATTCGGGCGTTTCAAATAACGCTGATGAAGATGCCGATAGTGTCCTGGACAGCTCTGATGATGCCATAATCAGACAGGCTTTTACCTACCCCACTGGGTATGCCCTCAAGGAGGGAGACCCGTTATACACTACCATCCATGAACTCCGTGAGCGAACTGGCTGGGTCTTGCATGATGTACACCGGTTCTTGAGCGATAATCAAGAGGATGATGTTCCTTGCTTTGGGGCTTTATACTCTGCCTTTAGGTCGTGGTTTGTTGATGTGGGCATGGAGAGGTCCGCTCATGTACTCGACCGAGTGACTCGCCTCTTGGCCGCGGACATTCACCCTTACAAGATGAGTGGTATCCGAAAAGATTACCCCAGAGCCCTGCTTGTGCGAAGAGCCAACGTATATCATCTCCAACGCCTCCGGCACAACGCTGCTCCCCGTCCTCGGTCTAGACTTGATGAAATCCTTCTTCTTGATATTGCCGAATCCTGTGTCTCACTCTACACGGAAACGCGCCGTAATGCTCAAAACGCGGGCGAATCGGCACTCAAGGCGGTCTATGGCGGTAGACTACTCGTTATCCCCCCTCTGCTTGCGGCTTTGCAAAGGGGTGTCAAGGAAAATGATCATGCACGCATCAAGGGAGCACTCTACTCGCTGCTTCTGAGCAGCGTAGCCAAAACGGTGGGGCGGCACTGGAAGTATGCGCCTGCCGTGGTCAGAACCTTTATAGATGCCAGCGCCGTTGATAAGCCTTCCGTCCAGAAAATTTGCTCCACCGCAGTCTTCCAGGTCATGGATTACGGCCGCCCAATGGAGCGAATGGCTATCCTAGATCAAGAAATTGTGGAGGCAATTGCTCCTACTGAAGAAGTCACTGGGCAGATAGAGAAAAAGCGCGCAGTCGTCAACAGCAAGCGCGTTGCTATTGAGCAAAAGAAAGCTGACCTGGCCGAAGAGCTGGTCAACCTGGCGCGAGTATCCCACTGGAAGATTGCCAGTCGTGCTGCGACCATCGTCATCACTATGGGTCTCCGCTTTGACTACATCGCCAGCGACAACTTGATCGAACTGATGACACTCGGGTCTATTGACGACCACCCTGGCTTGCGAGGCATGTACTCCCAGGCTCTCATCGCGTTGTTCACTATGATCGATGTGCGGGCCATCTGCACTCATGAGTACAAGAACTACGTTCTTGGTCATCAGCGATTCCCGTCAAAGATAAAGGTTGCAACCAAACCATATGACAAAGAATACACGCAGGAATACCTTTCTAGCTTTGCTAAGCCCGAGGCGGAGTACTATGTTGACCACGACTTCCCAGGCTGGCTTGTGTGGGGCAAGGCTATGCCAGCTTACAAGTCTAATGTAGCACGGGACATCGAGTATGACGATGTTGAATGGGAGGTTCGCA